CGATGATCATCGGCCACGTCCTGCCCGACAAGGAGACGTCGCTGCTGGACGCCTACGAGAAGTGTCGCAGCCTGGCCGACCCCAAGGTGTGCTGCGACTACGCCTTGCACATGGGCATCACCTGGTGGGCGCCCAAGGTGAGTCTGGCACGGCTCCGGGAGCAGCTGCCGGGGTTAATTCCCAGCCCCGCTGATCCCATTAGCTGCTTGGGGGGTGGGCTGAGCCCCCAGGATGCCTTTTGAGCTGCCCTGAGCCGGGCTCAGCGGGGCAGGGGCTCAGGGGTGCTCCGGGCCAAGGGGTCCCTGTGGGGCTGGGCCCCTCAATGGGACAAGGAAGGTGCTGCTGATGCTCCGTGGAGGGGAGCAGGGTCCCCGGGGCTGGTGGTCCCAGCAACCCACAGCACGACCCCCGTGGGGGCGACGGGCAGGACTGGTGACCAGACCCCAACCCGCGGCGCACTCAGCCCCTGCAATCCCCTCAAAGCTGCTGGAGTGGGATCAGAGCTGGCTCCCGGCTGTGCTGCAGGGAGACCCCAGCCCCGAGTCCCCTTCCAGCAGAGCAGGGGCAGAGGGATGGCGTGGGCACCCCCTGGGGACAGGAAAATCCCTTCTGCTCTCCCCAGCGTCTGGCACTGCCCGCACCACGCCGGAACGCACGTCCCCTGTCCCCAGCGCGGCCCCTCGGGCGCTGAGGCCCCACTTGAACCCCTTGTCCTGGTGCAGGTGAAGGCAGAGATGGAGACGCTGGTGCGGGAGAAGGGGGTGAACTCCTTCCAGATGTTCATGACCTACAAGGACCTGTACATGCTGCGGGACAGCGAGCTCTACCAGGTCCTGCGCGCCTGCCGCGACATCGGCGCCATCGCCCGCGTCCACGCCGAGAACGGAGAGCTGGTGGCCGAGGTGAGGGCAGAGCGGGGCGGGGCAATGGGCGCCCAGCTGGGGCAGCAGAACCTTCACCCTGACCCCAAAAATTCCCCAGGGAGCCAAGGAAGCTCTGGATCTGGGCATTACGGGACCAGAGGGCATCGAGATCAGCCGGCCTGAAGAGGTAGGTGACGGCAGGTGTCACCGTGGCGCTGCAGCAGTGGCATGGGATGTGGCTGGGATGGTCCAGGACATCCATATGGCTGCCACCACCCATCCCTGTGTCACCCACGCACCTGTCGGTGCCACCACTGTGTGTCACGTGTGTCACCACCGGCTCTCTCTGCAGCTGGAAGCTGAGGCCACGCACCGTGTCATCACCATCGCCAACCGGGTGAGTGGTCCTGGGCATCACCCGGTGGGGGTGGGCGTCCCGGTTCCATGGGGGGTCCCTGGGCCCCAGTCGGGGTGCAGGAACCCCCAGGGAGCTGGGCTGTCACAGAGACAGCAGCACTGACCCCTCTCCACAGACCCACTGTCCTGTGTACCTGGTGAACGTCTCCAGCATGTCCGCGGGGGATGTCATCGCCGCTGCCAAGATGCAAGGTAGGGGACACGGGTGGGGACCTCCCTCCCCAGCACACGGGGACACCTGTGTGGGTACAGAAAAACCCCGTGACACAGGACACACGTGGCCACTGGGGAGGTTTGGGGCTCGGAAGGATGAGGACATGGATTGTGGAGCTGTGGATATGCAGAGACACGAGGGCACCCATGGGAACCCGTGGGTACCTGTGGGGCTGTGCCCTGGCACAGGTGAGGACACCTGGGGCCCCAAATCTGCTCGTACACACGGGGCACACACACAGGTCACACACACACAGTGCACACACACACACACACACACAGTGCACACACACACACACACACACAGGTCACACACACACACACAGGTCACACACACACACAGGTCACACACGGGTCACACACGCACACACACACACATG